CAAATTTGACCAAAGGTATTGGAATAATGTAGAATTTAGATTCTACTTACCCACCTTACAGACTGAAAAATGTTTGAAAAGATTTTTTTCAGTATGTACAATACTCCTTAAATTTGGCAGTCCAGTGGACATGACTACCGGATCTGGTTTTTATGTCTGTATTGTTAGGAGTAGGTTGTGGGATTGTAGTTGGAGTAGAAGAAAGTTGGTCTTCATTAGATCGTGTGTGATTTGCAGCATCATTTTGACTTCAGATAAAATGTCCTTAATATATATTATTCAGGAAAGCCATTAAAATCTTTTAAATTAAATAATGTCTTAGATTTATTGGGTTTTGTATTTTTACAATTGAGCTAAAAGTTTGGGTAATATCGCACAATTTACAAGAAAAATCGATACTTTATATTCTTCGGCGTGGTGTAATGGTTAGCAAGCTCGTCTTGCTAGGTCAGTTATTACTGAAAAGTGAGTTCGATCCTCACTTGATGCCCCATACATTCGGCCTAGTCCCACATCTAAGCTACGCTTGGAAAATCTTTAGGGCACCTCGACGTGGTGTAATGGTTAGAAAGCTTGTCTTGCTAGATCAATTACGACTAAGTAGTGAGTTTTTACCATGACTTTCTAAAAAACAAACATTTCAAAAATAATTTTATTTATTTGTGAATAAATTCAGAAAGTTTCACTAAAATCAGGCAAGGAATAACTTTAAAAAAAATCAAGATTTTTAACCAAAATTTCGAACGTGCTAGAAAGGATTTAAAAAATTTTAAAAGATAGATAAAAATACTTTGGTCTTTCATTTTAATAAGAATTTTGACGATAAAATTTTTTATTAAGTTTTTATATTTTTCATCATGATATGCAGTTTTTTCGGCGAATTAAAAATTGTTAAAGATTACAAAAAAAGCTAATCACTTCTCTTACAAGTCTCACAAGTCTCTTACATTTCTTCGATCATAATTAAATTAACAAATATGTAGATAAAAGAGTAATATAAAATAATACTACTGGACACAAATTATAGGAACAAATGTTTTAAATTTGAATTGTTTATTGAACATCGCAGCTAAAACCTACTGCACTATATAAAATTGTCATAATAGAACTAAATTGTTCGGTGTAGTTTCCCTTGAGTGTAAACGAAGGTCTTATTTGGTGGCACAATGATTTGGTTAATGGGCTTGCGCCTTGCTTCCTGTTCATACATAATTTGTGAAGATTCGGTTGTTCATTTGACAGCTTTTTCCACGCCTTGTAAATGTGCAGGTAAATTTGGAAATTCCAATTTTGCTCCATTCATTGAAGATTCTAGGAGTTCATTATTTAAAAACTTTCTGCAAATGCAGATTCACAGACCCCCCACTTTGTGAGAAGTCAAAGTTGACCAATTTGTGGCTTCAAAATTGATGGCAATCATTTTCTTCAACCTCTTCTTTGGTAAGTTCGCTACTTCTGAAAAAAAAATTATTAGAAAATTTTGCCCATACTTGGTTATATCTTTTATGTAATTTCAATGAAACTTAAAATTATTCTTGTAAATTGACACAACTAATTAAGCATAAATAAATGTTTACTTATCTAATGGACAAAATCTTTTTTTATGGCTTCTTCCCTCCTCTCCAATTCATTCGACTTCAACATTGACAACAGAATGTTTTTTGGAAGCAAAGCAAAAGCATCTGTCTATATTTCTGAGATGAGGTATTATGTACACTATTTACATTATTCGGACTATTGTCGCCATATTTATTAAAACGTTTCGGTCGTTGTACGCTCCAGCCTTCTTCAGGTGGTTGGAATGTCGAACTGAACCCTTTATTTCGCTCACTGGGGTAGACTGTTCTAGTTCCACGTGCCATGTCTAATGGATGTCAGTTATCAGTTATCTTCTGGTTATTCCCCTCTCCAGGTTCTCCACCGCCTTAACCAGGTATTGAACTCACTCTCTTTGGGTCCGTTCTCTGGATCTAACTAACGCCTTTATCCACTGTGTCCTCAAGGGTTCAGTTCGACATTCCAACCACCTGAAGAAGGCCGGAGCGTACAACGGCTGAAACGTTGTAATAAATATGGCGACAAAGATGAGGACAATAGTCCGATTAATGTAAATAGTGCAAAGCAAAAGCATTGAACTGTTAATTTGTGTGTTAACACGCAAAAGCGAATCCAAAACAAAACTCGTGAAATTTCACACCTTGATGCGAAATTTTTTTTCGGCCAATAGGAAACTAGGAAACATTTAAAAACAAAATTTAAATAACCTTCAATTCTCAGAAACAAATTCTTTTACGGACCTTTTCGCGAGCCGACGCGAAGTCTGTCGTCGTCCAATGGAAAGGACCGAATCATATCCAGGGGTGAATTCCCAAATTACTTTTTCAAGTCCCACCAACAAAAGACGGGCAAGTTCGCTTGTCACCAGAGAGAAAAGAAGACGAGCGTATTAACACGTCTCTTGACAAACGTCAAAAGATCGTTACTATTATCTCTACCTTTCTCCTTCATCTCTTTTATACTTGAAAGGAACATTTAAGACTAAGCGATTACTTCAAAGACATTCCTACCCTACGATAACGCTCATACATCCACACATACTTTCACATACACTCATTCTTGCAAGGACTACTACGAACATTTTGACGACCTTGTATCAACCAAAATACATTAATTTTATTTGTAAAGACCTAAATTGATATGTATATAAATTTGTTGTTTCACTTTACAATTTGATTTTCTTGTTTTATACCTCTCTTATGGTGGGCTATCTAACTAACAAGGCCAAATCAAACTATCAGTTTCAACACTCATACTCACTGTCATACATTTCACTATAACTGATAACCCACTATAGGACGAAGAGGGCCCATATGTTATAGATCTAAGATTAGAAGATACATCACATCTAATAAGTTCCATGGAATATCTAGGGACTTTTAAAAGACTCTAAAGTCCCTTTGTCTTCCTGGCTCAAAAACTGTCATCGTTTGTTTCTTCACTTGAAGATGTCTGTAAAAAAATATTGTATGTAGTAGAGGAAGCAACACGTGAAGAATCTTGTTGCTGTCTTTCAATCTACCTGCCTAATCTTTGTTTCAGTAAAATATTTTTTTATTTTTTTTTTTATTTTTTGATAGCATCTTTGTCGATAGGTCCAAGTTGGAAACTGCCTTTTGGTCCTGTATTCCCTCTCTTCAATGAGAACCTGCAATTTCAAAATGTGCATGCGTTTCTTTAACATGACAAAAGGAAATACCACAATATTATTTACTAGAAAAAGGAAGATTTATATTTTTCAATTTAAATTCGGAAAATCAGGACATGAAATACTTCAAAAAAGTATTAAACAAAAAAACAAAAAAAAAAAAACAAACAAAAAACTACCATAGGAAGACAAGTGCAGATTATGTGCCTTGTTTAGCAATTTTCTGTATTGCACTTCACAGCAAAGTCATCAGATAAAAAATTTGAAACAAGAAAAAAAAGCAAAAAGAAGGAAACAGTATTACTTACCTAAAAAATGAAAATAATCTCTTCAGCGGAAAAAACAAATACGTTTGAGAATTTACGCCAGTCAGTTAAATAAAATTAAGTAGATTAATTAAATAATCTTTTCTTCTTTCTTTTTCAAATAATTAATTCTGTTGCATAAAAAAAAAAAAACTAATTATTTTTACAATTATAAACAAACAGCGGTCAATGTTTCATACAATAATAAACAATAACAAGAACACGCTTTTAAAACGGTGTAAACTTAAATAATAACCATCAAAGATAGTTCCACAGACAATATTCATAAACAAACATTATTTTATCATTTAAAAAATGAAGAAATTTTTCTGTGCTTTATTGATAATTAAAATTAGTCTATTTTTTCTACTGAAAAATAACAAATTCTGAATTCCATGATAAAGAGAAAAAGAAGCGATCTTTTCCTGTCAATTACGCAAAAAAACAATAATTTTCATTTCGCTTTTACAAGTAAACATTTTTTTTTATTAAATAATCCTTTTTTTTTTAGTTTTATTTGATATATTAAAAACAATGAAAATATTTCAATTGACATTTATTTTTAATTATGACATGTACATATTTTCTCTTCTCCCAACGGTACAGAATTTTTTGACGGCGGTAAATTTTTCACTGATCGCCAGTAGTTAAAGTAACTTGCTCGCCTAACTGTAACGATTTGGAGAAAAAATATTTTGTGTTACTATTTTCTTGTCAAACCCCAACTATCATAACCATCGCATTACCACGGTTCCTAAATCGACCTGTCGTAAATGGGTACTGTACGCAGTTGTGTGTACAGCACTACACACATATACACACGCACCTAATGAGCCAATCAGTTTTCATTTCAGGTCATGCCAGAGAAAATCACGCGAGATAAACATTTTTAAAATGCACTAGAGAAAAAAACAACAATTTTTAAGTTTCAAGTTAATCATAAATCGAGTAAATTCTCAAAGAAAACAACTGGTTTCATGCCTTTCTTTGGGCTCTTACAAACATGTAGAGAGCCAAAATTTTTAAAATCTTATAGGGTAAAAAAAAAAAAATGTGAAAAAGATTTCAGACATACCATACATGTTATGACCCACCCCCACACTTCCCTTCTTGGTTATCAGCTCTTTTAAAATGATTTTCTTTTTTTGCTGTTCTCGAAAGCCGGAAGTGTTTTTCTTGGAATGTATTTTCAAGCAAAGATTTTAACAAAAGTTAATAGTTTCAAATTCAAAATAAAGAGATTAATGCATTTTTTATGTGAAAGATTTGTCACTAAAGAATTGTGTTTGCAATCATTTGATAGTCACCTTCAAATAACCTTTTTTGGATGATTTTTAAAAAGAGATAGAAAGACCTTGCACAAGAAGACTATAACCCACTTAAGACAAGCAAAGGCAACTGGAGCAGAGGGAACAGGAATTAATTATTATTGCTGAAGGTATCGAGCACAGAAAAAAGTGATGAACGAAAAGTGATAACAAAAAACTTACATTCTACGAAGCGAAGAATGAAAATTGAAAACTGCGTCAAACGTGGAAAGAGAAACAGTTTTGATGTGTTAACGGTCAGCCAATCAGAGAGAAGCATAAAAGAATGAACCAATCAAAATAATGTAAGAATAAAAGGGTCCAATCAAAATTCGACAAATATCAGCTGACAATTGAGAATGTCTTTCTGTTACAAAAGAAAAGCCTTTCGTCAATGAGAAATAGTTTTTCGAAAATTAAATTGTTTAATTCATAACGATTTGCTTTATCCCACATGAATCTTATTGAAAGGCCCAAAATAGCTGATAGATTAAAATTAACTTATCACAAAATCCCTTGCATTTAATAAAATAAAACAGCAGTAGTTGAAAATACAGGAGTTTGCATTTTATTTTATAGAAAAATACAGTCAAACATGCGAACATGTGCATAAATATGTAACTTTATGTTCTATAATAATTGAATAAATAAATTAAGAAATAAGTAAATGTAGTTTCATTTTTTGGGAATGCATTTTAATATCCTACGACATTATAAATAGTGGAATTTTCACATGTCAAACAAAAAACAATTTTTGTGACAATAACATTGTAAATGTTTATTTTATTATGGGTTCATTTTGTTAGTATGATAAACAGCTTGTAGTGAGTCCCGATAAAAATAAAATCTATAAACAAATAATAAAAAGAATTCAAATTAAAATAAAGCATTTGCGCTTTCCTTTAAAACTTTTATTTATTTATATATACATTTCTAAACCTTTCTTTCTTTCTAAACTTCTCTTTCTATATTTCCTTCAACTAACGAGGAGGCAACCCTCAAATAAAAAAAAGGAAGAAGAAAACTGAAAAACGCCGGAAGTGTGAAGAACAAAGACTGAAAACTAACAAAAATCAGGGAGGCTCCACGCATAACTTCCGTTATAAAAAAAAAATGAAAAATAAAGGAACGCTGAAAAATAAAATAATCTTAGCTGATCAAAAAATTGCTACAAAGAGAGTTTTGATGTTAGCCGAAACCAATGTTTGTACCAGATTACCGGAGCTTCCTCAAAAGGATATAAGATGACACCTCTGCGGTAGAAGAGGCGGCGGCAGGAGATAACAAGAAAAGACGCTTTCGCCGGAGAAACCAGCCATGCGTGACGCGTGAAGAAGTAATTAAGAGGCCATCTGCTAACCATATTTCTGCCCTGCTTAGATTGACACTGACCTATTTCTAATATTACTTCTAAGCCCAGCACGGTCTGACGTCAAAACTATCACCACTGGAATTTCTCCAAGCTACCACCAATATCCGCCTTATAAACGAAGATTTTTGTGACACTGAATATCAAAGGACTCATCCTAAAGCAAATAAATAAAAATATATATTATATATGTATATACCCTTGCTCTATTTCGTTTTATGTCCTGTGTTTCCGATAAACATCACCAAGAATATCTACTAATACCACACTGGTGACCCCCGATGTTATACACACTTATAAACATGTAATACACAAGACACACGATTAAATATTCTGATTTTTAAAACTAACAGTGAATATTGGTTTATATTTGTAAAGACTGGAAAGGTTTGTGATCACAGGAGAATTAAAATAGGACAACTGTTGCAGCGCTAAGCAGGTTGCCTGTTAACACCGCAAGCAGAAAAATAATATAGGGTAATACGATCGAAGCAAGGACAACAAAGACGAGGATGTAAAAGTTTAAGCCAAATTTTAATAAATTGTTGAAAGCAAATAATCATTTGAATCGGTCAACAGTTTTGAAGGATCGTTTTCAAAATGTATTGCGACAAAGAATAGGCCTAACAGCGGTGTTTAGTTCAGTTCCCCGGATTCGGTATATAAAGAGCGCGTCGGCGCTTGGGGAGACTGTTCCTGCATAATGCGTTGAGCTCAGTTCGTCCTCAAATGTCGCAAATCGCAGGTTGAGTTCTAATGAAGGACATTCGCAATTTCGCGGCTTAATCCTCTACTATCTTCCCCAGGCGTTCCGGAAAACAACCCATATCATTTATATGGTCGCTAGTCCGCATTACCCGAGGGTAGACTGTGCAAATTAAACCGGTGTATCATAGGGACATGTAGCCGAGGGTAAATAATCTGCTGCTGCTGGTGAAGCTGGTCGGCGTACAGATAATCGTTTGTGGTTGAAGTTCGGTCGTGCTGCTGGTTGAGTTTTGCCTGGTTGAAGGATCGTTTTGCAGGGCTTTCTGCTTCGTGCGGTCAGCGAAGGTGAGAGCTTCGCTCAACCCCGAGGTAAAAATCCGCCGGGAAGTTCTGGAACTTGCTCCCACTAAGTCAAGATGTAACACAAGGTCGTTTAGTCGAGACCCCGGATGTCGGTAGCTGGTCAGAGCTTAGTAAAACTTGTCGCGTCCCGGCAGAGCCAGTCTTGAGGAGAGGATCGACGCGGACGAACGATCCAATAATTTCAAAACCCAGCATAACGCCGGCGGGCGAGATCAGTTCGTCCTCCCACTAAGTCAAGATTTCATGACTGTCGTGGGAGACAGGATCGCAAAGGTTGGTCCAAAACTGTTCTAATGAAAGGACATTCGCAATAACCTAGCAAGTCTTGGAGCCAGTTAGTCCTTGAAATCTACTATAGCCAATCAATTCAAAAGCCTCAGCATAACGCAGGCGTAGTCCGGAAAAACGAGATTTGCACAAGGTCGTTTAACGTGAAGACCCGGTGTTTTCAGGCTACTGGTCCAAATGGTCATAGTACCCGAGGGTAGAGCTAGTGCATAGCTGGTCATGGAGGCACCGAGTGTAGGCTGAGCCAGTCCAAAAGGAAAAATGATCGAATCTCAAAGGCCAAGAAACGATCCAATAATTTCAAAACCCTCAAATTAACGCTGGCGGGCGAGATCGGTATTTAATTTGACTCCCACTAAGTCAAGATGTGACACAAGGTCGTTTAACGTGGAGACCCGGTGTTTCCACCAAAAGGCTGGTCTGGTCATAGCTTGTCCAAGCTGGTCGGCCTGCTGGTCATGACTTGCTAGCTGCCGTCCAAGCTATTCGAATCCTTGATCGAATCCAACCAGCCAAGGAACGATCCAATGGCATGCATGACGCCGGTCGAGATCGTATTTACTTGACTCCCACAAAAGCAAGATGCTGGTCATTTAACGTGAGACCAGAGTGTTTCCACTCAAAGGCCACTGGTCCAAAACTGGTCAAAGCTTATCCAAAATCAGAGCCTCGTCAAAGCTGGTCATGACTTGTCCTAAAGTCCCGGTTGAGCCAGTCCAAGGTCGAAAACTTGATCGAATCTCAGCCATAGGCCAAGAAACGAGCCAATAATTGTCAAAACCCCAGCATAACGCCGCCGGGCGAGATCGGTATTTACTTGACTCCCACTAAGTCAAGATGTGACACAAGGTCGTTTAACGTGAGAGACCCGAGTGTTTTCCACCAAAGGCCACTGGTCCAAACTGGTCATAGCTTGTCCAAGCTGGTCAGAGCCTAGTCAAAGCTGGTCATGGCTTGTTCTAGCAAGTCCCGGGCAGAGCCAGTCCAAGCTAGTCGAAGCCTTGATCGAATCTCAGCCATAGGCCAAGAAACGATCCAATAATTGTCAAAACCCCCAGCATAACGCCGGCGGGCGAGATCGGTATTTACTTGACTCCCACTAAGTCAAGATTTCACACAAGGTCGTTTAACGTGGGAGACCCGAGTGTTTCCACTCAAAGGCCACTGGTCCAAAACTGGTCATAGCTTGTCTAAGCTGGTCAGAGCCTAGTCAAAGCTGGTCATGACTTGTCCTAGCAAGTCCCGGTCGGAGCCAGTCCAAGAGGCTCGAATCCTTGATCGAATCTCAGCCATAGGCCAAGGAACGATCCAATAATTGTCAAAACCCCCAGCATGACGCCGGCGGGCGAGATCGGTATTTACTTGACTCCCACTAAGTCAAGATTTGACGCAAGGTCGTTTAACGTGAGAGACCCGAGTGTTTCTACTCAAAGGCCACTGGTACAAAACTGGTCATAGCTTGTTCTTATTTTATTTTATTTATTTTAAACGAGGTTTAAATTTTATTTTATAATTTTCATTATTATTATTATTTTATATTTTATTTTTATTTATAATAATAACAATGTTTCTACAAAATAAATAAACATATATTATTTGTTGTACCTTTGATTCTGTTCGTGTCTTCCGAATTTTCTGATCGATATTATTAAGAACCACCCGCAACAACTTGACTTCATCGGAACTTTGTGTACGCCAGCGATCACCACAGAAGGGAACAAGTACGAACTCAAATTTCGGCATGAAAGGCTTCACCAGACAGAGAAGTAACTCACAATAAATCAAGTCATCACCCAGAAATTTCATCAGACAAGCAGACTACAAGCAGTGATCAATGGAAACGAACGTAGCGTGATGGCTCAATATCATAGAAGCGAAATTCCACCCAGGAAGCTTACAGCCAGCGCATCTTACCCCCGAAACCCCCGATCGCTTTTTTTTTGGTGGGGGGGGGCGTTGCGGCCTCTGCCATATTTTTATAGCACTGTTTTATGATCATCCGCCATTTTTTTTTAATTATTTTTAAACTGACGTTACATTGTCAGTCATCAACTAAGAATATACATCGTGTATCTGCATAGCAGGTTAGGGGCGTATTGCGCGTTCCTGCGCAATACGCCCCGCACCCGACAAGGTTGGAGCCCCAAAGGGTAGTTTCAGCAGCGTTTTTTTTTTTTTTGGTGGGGGGGTACTTTTTTTCTGCATTAGTTATATTGTTAATTATCAACTATAATTATCAACAGGGGCTTTCTACCGCGACTCTCTCAACCTTGTGGGAGCTCCATACCTACTCGGGAATTGCAGGAGGGGGGCAGAAGTGCTAATTTCAGCGCTTATTTTTTTAAATTGTAATTTTCTTTCTGAACAGTTCGTTTAAATCAATTAAGAGGGGGAATATATCTCGGTAAAATGATTTTTTATTCCGAGATCATCTACTAAGGAGGATCTCTGATTTTTACTGATAGTAATACTAACCAGACGTCCACCGCTAGTAATTAAAATAAAATTTCTAGTCCCTACTTTTTACATTTCGAGAAAGATAAAACTGAGAA